TATATCCTTCTATAACAGAATATCTATCGTATTTTCTATCAACTCCAAAGTATATAAGATCGGACATAAAGGGTGTTAAAATGAGATCAATGTATATTTTTTTGAGGGGAGATCAATGTATATATTTTTGAATTAATTGCAAGTTCATTTTTGTTTTTACGAAAAATGCTTGTTCAAATGCACAACTTTTGAAATATGGTGATATGTAAATGACATGTAATGCTATGTATTATTTAATTATATATAAGTTAAAAAAAACCTCTTTTGTTTTATTTTTCTCACATATTTCTAGGTTTTATTCTACCCTGATCTCTCATTTTGACTTCCTCCTAAGCTTATTTTTATTCATCACAATTAAAGCTAGCAAATTATAATTTGGGGATAGATAACATCATTCAACAGCTTTGAAATTCTAATTATCAATTTTTTTTTTCAATATTAATCTCTGCGCTCAATTCATCAATCTAAAACGTAACCCTAATCTGATCTATATTTCTAAGTATAATTAATTGATTTTGTTAATTTCAATCTCCCCCTCTCATTAATTAAAAACCTTGATTTGTATTCAATGGCTATAATAATTTGCTAGCTATTGTAACAGATTATATCTGAACCCAACTAAAATTTCAAACTAATTACATATCGTCAAAGAAAGATAATATAGTAGCATTGATTAGCGCTTTTCAATTCATACCTTGTTATTTCAGATGTTATATTATAATAGGGAGGTGAATTGTAGTGAGTTCCTAGTATATAATTTTTGCGGATTAAAACAGTTAAAGTTAGGAACTTAAAGAGTGTAAAGCGGATTTTACGAGGAAACCTTCTAGGGGCCAACTGGAAGTAAAACCTCGACCCTCCAAGGGAATTTCAACACAAACATTTTACTATTATAGGGAAACTCCTAGTTACAACCTATTACACACATACCTTACTCACAAGCTCCTCAGTGAATGCTTGCTACCTGATAGGACCCTATCCTACCCAACCTAAGTCGCATGCACTTAGGTTCACTCAGCACTCTCGGAGTGCCTACACTCGGCTTCACAGTAGAAGCTCACTCACTATAGTGCCCTCACAGCTACCACACGAATTTTAGAGACTTGCAAACTCCTACACGAATTTTAGAGACTTTTAAACTCCTACACGAATTTTAGTGAATTCAAACTCATCACACCCCAATACTCAAAATACTCAAATCCATTTTTCCATTACAAGATCTCATTGAATAACTCTAAATACATATATATGAATAAAGAGATAAAACTAATACGTTGGACACTCGAAATCTGTCTGGAACACACTGGGCGTACTATAACCAAAACCTGACAGGAACTTTGACCTAGAGGACTGACTTAGCTTCATGGTGAAGGATAAAACCATTAAGCATGACTACTATACACTTCGTCAATCTCAACTTTGAATGAATACATATGAGCATATTTATAGTACACTGGAATTATTTATTTCATCTTGAAAAAGATAGGTTTAAGGTTTTATCAAAAGATAAGTTTAAAAGATATTTCTAACAATAAGTTTTCCCAAAATATATCTTTTTGTTAAGAAGAAAATATGTCAATAATAATAAGAGATAATTAACATAAAATCATATTTTATTCAAACCTTATCTTTTTGTTTAAAAATACTTTTTCAACAAACTTATCTTTTTTCAAAAGGGATTTATTAGAAAATAAATATTTTTATTCAGTAAAACTAAATCTTTAAAAGATATGCACGTAATAGGAAAATATGTATATCATTAAAACTGACTTTTAAAGACGTGCATACTTAAGTTTCCATTAGGTTCGAAACTCTGTCAATCTGTGAGTTCTTGACAAGTCAGCAACTCTAATTTCATTGATTGTCTGGAGTTCACCTTGGTTGTAAACAAACTTGTTCCAAACTGACTTTTATGTCCAACATATTTACATGAATCCTAGAGCAGCATACTTTTATTTCTCCGTCTTCATGATGCTTCTCTGAAACTTTTGTTCTGAAATCCTGTAGTCTTGACGTATTCCGGATCTCGGGGCAACGTTCCACTCTGGAACCGCAGTCCAAGTTCCAGCATTACACTGGAACTTGCTTCTTTTAGGAAGCTGCTTGATGTGTTCCTTCCGTCAGGAAACACTTTTTAGTTCCATGTAGTCTTGTTCGTAGAACTTCTTTCAGTAACTCTTCTCCTACTTTACTTGTCATCCTTAGTCTTCTAAGATTCCTCTGTTTCAGTCCTCACTTTAACTCCCGAAGTTTACTTATTTTACAAAAATCAAAACACTAAAAGACTCTTATTAGATAGAAGTTTGGTCAATCATTAACATCATCGTCAAAACCTCATTAGGATAACATACCTTCTATCTATCATGATTCTTAATTTTTTAATTATTTTCTTCTATCAATTGTTTTGGATAGTTGAGGAGCCAAAGTTTAATTGAAACAAACTACCTAATACGAATTATGGAGGGTGAAAGGTTTAAAACGAAAATTTTAAGATTTTAATAAATTTCCTTACAATAATCACAATGGGTGAAGTATAAAAAACGCTGGGTAGAAATTTGATACAGATTTGACATTGATAATGTCATTGATTTCATTCTGCGATATAATTTTATCGGAACGATTTTCATCATTGATTTCATATTGCAATCTAATCTCTGTAAGTATAAATTATGCACTGGAAACAATCCTAAACATAAATAGAAAAGTAATTACCATTGATGAATGCTCATTTAATTTATTCATCTTTTTTTTTTAATATTGTTATTCTTACTTTGTAATTTACATGACATAGAAATAATAATATTGAGTGTACATTTAAAAATATATATATATACTAAATTAAAAAAATGGTGAGCACAAAGATTTGATCCTTCAAGCACAAATAAAAAAAAAATAATGCAGTTTACCATCTTAGCTAAAGTTAAACAATGCTTAAAATATATGAAAAATATATAATAAATTTAATTAATTTTAGGAAAATGATATACATAGCCCTTAGGGCTACATATAAACATTAAATTTACACTTGGAAATCATAAAAAGTTGAGAAATCACGAAAAAATAATCACTAATTACACTGATTTACGCGTGTTTTTGTCATGAATTTCTAATTTTATACAATTTCTAAGAGTATATTTAATGTTTACATATAGCCCTTAGGGCTACATATAACATTACCCTTAATTTTAATAGTGGTACACTAGATAAGTCCCGTGCGATGCACGATATCGGCTATGTTCCTGATATTTTATGGGCCCTAGGCATAATGTACATACGAAAGGGGCCTTTACATAACTAGTTTTTATTTTATCCACAATTTATCTAAATAAAAGACAAATTATTTATTTGAATAATAAGTCTAAAGTCTCAATACACGATAATAACGGTGCATAATATAAAAAGGGATAATGTTATACATAGCCCATAGAGATATACATAAGCATTAAAAACACTCTTGAAAATTGTATAAAATTGAAAATGTATGACAAAAACATGCGTATATTAGTGTAATTAGTATATTTTTGTCATGATTTTCTAAATTTAAATAATTTTCAAGAGTGTTTTTAATGCTTATATGTAGCCCTAAAGGGTATGTATAACATTTTCCAAAAATTAAATGCTAGAAAATTTGTGCAAATTTAGAAATCATAAAATATATGCACTAATTTACGCATGTTTTTATCATGAATTTCTAATTTTATTGTCACGAAAATAATTCCATAGTTTTCATTAGAGTATAGCAAGCGTATATAAACAACCTAGCAAATAGAATAGGGCTCATGAGATAGGCCCGATAACTATACACTATACACAATAATAGGCCTTAACACCCCCCCTCAAGTTGGAGCATGCAAATCACAAATGCCCAACTTGACAAGTAAATACATGAATTGACTTTTACTCAAAGCCTTGGTGAATATATCTGCTAATTGATCCGTTGTCTTCACATACGACGGACTAATGATACCATCCTGAATCGCATCACGAAGATAATAACAATCCACCTCAATGTGCTTGGTACGCTTATGGAAAAACGGATTCTTCGCAATATGCAACGCAGATTGATTATCACAAAACAAACTCATAGCACGGGGATGCGAGACACCCAAACTCAGAAGAAGGGCCTTCAACCATTTCAACTTATCAGTAGTTTTAGACATTGAGCGAAATTCGGCCTCTGAAGAAGACTTGGCCACAGTGTCCTGTTTCGGCCTCTGAAGAAAACCTGCCCAATCTAAATCACACCAACCCGTAATATGTAAATCACAAGCCGAACTCAAAAGAATACCCTGACCCGGACATCCCTTCAAGTATCGCACTATACGAAGAGCCACTTCCCAATGGTCCTGCCGCGACTGTTGCATAAATTGAGATAAAATATGCACCGCGTAAGCCAAATTCGGTCTAGTAAAAGACAAATAAATCAGATGACCCACAAGCCGTCGATACTGTTCTGGATCAGAAAAGAAAGAGGACTCTGATTTTGCCAGAGTATGATTCTGCTCAATAGGAGTACCTGTCGGACGAGCACCTAGCAAACCAGACTCTGCAATAATGTCAAGTTTATATTTCCGTTGGCATAAAAATATGCCTTCCGGACTACGAGCAATCTCAACACCAAGAAAATACTTCAAAACACCCAAATCTTTCTTATGAAAACAGTCACTCAAGTATGACTTGAATGTCAAAATCGAAAAAGAATCATTACCAGAAATTATCAAATCATCCACATAGACCAGAACACTAAGTTGAATAAACCCAGATTGCAGAGTAAAAAGAGAATAGTTAGAGTACAATTGCACAAATCTGTTCCTTTTTAGAGAGGCGGCCAATTTAGAGTACCAACAACGAGGTGCTTGTCGAATACCATACAACGACTTCAGAAGACGACACACCAAACCAGATTGAGAACCATAAAACCCAGGGGGAAGCTTCATATAAACTTCCTCATCAAGATCACCATGGAGAAATGCATTGTGGACATCCATCTGATGCAATTCCTAATTCTTTGCAGCAGCGACATCCAGAAAAGCCCGAACAGTGACCATTTTAGCCTCAGGAGCAAAAGTCTCATTGTAATCAATACCCTCAACCTGATGATTACCAAAGATAACAAGACGAGCCTTCAATCTCTCGAGTGTGCCGTCAGAATTAAGTTTGACCTTGTAAACCCATCTGCACCCAAGAGCTTTCTTGCCCGGAGGTAATTTTTCCATTACCCATGTTCCATTGTTTTCCAATGCATCAATTTCTTTTTGCATTTCCTCTTTCCACCCCTCATCTTGCATTGCCTCCTTGAAATTACGAGGCTCAACCACCGTGTCAATAGCTGCAATAAATACACGGTGTCGCACAAAAAATTTATCACAATTCATAAAATGTGCTAAAGGATAGGGAGTACCTGAGGAGCATGGAGTAGGCGATGAACATTGAAAGATAGATGGACTAGGAAGAGATATAGCGTGAGCAACATAATCACGATGCCACCCCGGTGCTTGCCTTGGACGTTGACTACGGTCCAACACAAGAGAAGAAGACAAATCAGTGGTAGGCGGAGCAGCCACCTCATGACTGTCCGAAACAGTAGCAGAGGCAGTAGGCGCCCCATCAGAGCTGCTGGTGGCAGTGTTTGTGGCAAAGGAAAGCACTGGAGAACTGTGGACAGGAGAGGCCACGGTCTGGCCGTGGTTGGGGCTAGTAGGAGTGTCGTGCAAAATGGCCTCTTCTCCAACCTCCAAAACATACTCCAAGTCATCTAAGAAATCACTATCAACCCCAACAACCTCGGGTGACCCCCCCTCAACACCCAAACCCGATTCCTCATGAGAAATAAACGGAAACTCGTTCTCATGAAATTTCACATCACGAGATACAAAAATGTCACCAGTGTCTAAGTCATAGCATTTCCAACCTTTCTTCCTATGAGGGTATCCAACAAATACACATTTTCGACTTCGCGGGGCAAATTTGTCACCCTTTGCCTTTTGATTATGAGCAAAACATAAACACCCAAAGACACGCAACTCATCAAAGATTGGTGATTAGCAAAGAGTATTTCATATGGAGTTTTATTGGCTAACAAAGAGGAAGGAGTACGATTAATGAGATACACCGCCCCAAGGACACACTCACCCCAAAAAGTAATCGGCAAATTGCCTTGAAACATCAAAGCACGACTCACATTCAATATATGTTTGTGTTTACGCTCTACCCGACCACTTTGGTTAGGGGTACCGACACAAGAGGCTTGAAAGAGAATACCATTTTCATCAAAATAAGGAAGCATGGGTTTGAATTCAGTTCCATTATCACTCCGCACACATTTAACAGTGACATCAAATTGACATTAAACCATAGCAAAGAAAGAGCAAAAAGAAGAATAAACTTCAGTTTTGTCATTCAATAAGTAAACCCAAACACCACTGGAAAAATCATCAACAATCGTCAAAAAATAATGAGCACCACAAGTAGAAGTCGTGTTATACGGTCCCCACAAATCACAATGTATCATTTCAAGAATACGACTAGCACGACTATCACTATCAAAAATTGTCTCGGGTTTGTTTAGCTAGAGGACAAATGTCACAAGCTTTATGTAAACACTTAGTACCAGTACTACCTCGAATAGCAGGAAGCAATTTGACAATTTTCTCTGAAGGATGCCCCAAACAACGATGCCACAACTCAAATGTAGAAATCTCCGGACCCGTAAGAGCACATACTTTTGGGATACGCAGGAAATAATATAGTCCATCTATCCATTCACCACCTCCAATTAAGCTCCCCGAGGATTGATCCTGTATAGCACAAAGAGAATTAGTGAATCGGACAAAGTAATGAGAATCATCAATCAACTTAGACACCGAAATTAAATTGCAATTCAATTGTGGAACAAATAGAACATGTTCAAGAGTAATGTCATCCGCCAAGACAACACGACCCTCCTTAGTAGCCATGGCCTTAGCACCATCGGGAAGACCAACAGGAGAAGGGATAATAGAATGAGCATCATGATAAAAAACTGTCATTGCCGGTAACATGGTGGGATGCACCGGTGTCAATAATCCATGAGAATGATAGAGAATCACTAGCCATAGAATCCATAGGAGAATTAAATACACCCAAGATAGAAGAGGCAGTAGTAGTAGTAGTACTAGGAAGCCGAGGAAGGGCAGCAGCACTATAGGTAGCAGCGGCCGCGCGGTGGGGTCGCGGGATATCCCCGCGGCCTGGCAGAAGCAGCGAGGAAGAGGCAGCAGCCGCGGGACAGGGTCGGAGGTTGTCCCCGCGGCCTGGCAGACCCTGCATCGCTAAATTAGAGGGGGGCGGATTAACGGCAGATGGCAGAGCAGTAGCAGAGGTAGAAGCGGCTACTGAGCAGCCGTGGTGGCCGAATTTGGCCAGCCACCAGTTAGGGAGGCCATGAACAAGGAAGCAACTATCGTAATCATGACCCGATCGATTACAAAGGGTACAATATAAGTGCAATTTGCGTCGGTGCGTAGATAGAAATTTATCAGTGGATTCGGAATTAGAAGAAGACGTCAAGGGATTGACAATCACCATTATTGATCAAGAAGAAGAAGTAGAGTAGTAGTATGAGAAGAAGAAGAAGCGGAAAAGTCGAAGGAAATTTTGAACAGCAACTGAAGCAGTAAACAAGTAGAATTGGGGAAAAACCCAAAAATCGATTTAGAGCAGCAAGAATATTTGTAGAAATTGGTTGATTAGAAAAAAAATTCAGAAATTTGATTGTAGAGATTATGATAGAAATTAATTTAGGGATTAGAATGATTTTGGCTCCGATACCATGTCACGAAAATAATTCCGTAGTTTTCATTAGAGTATAGCAAGCGTATATATACAACCTAGTAAATAGAATAGGACTCATTAGATATGCCCGATAACTATACATTATACAGAATAATAGGCCTTAACATTTATACAATTTTCAAGAGGTATTTAATATAATTTTATATTAAAAAAAAAAAGAGTTATGTTACCGACTTACCGTTGTATAATTGGCCACTAAAGGGAAAGATAAGAACAGAATATTTGGTGATGGATGAATTACTTATGCTGCTATTTATTTTGTTAATTATCTTAGTTATTGCCATGATATTAATCTGCCAAACATAAAGTTGTTAATGGTGTTATTGGAATTATTGTATTTTGGGAATTTGTTAATCATAGAAACCGTAGAAGAAGATAGTGAAGAGATAAAATGTTGTAATTTCCACCTAATAAATTGATATAACAGCTAGCTAATTAATGACTTACATGAATCAAGGTTTAATAAATGCAACAATTCCCACTAATAAGTTTTTTTTTTTTTTTTTTTTTTTTTTTTTTTTTTTTTTTTTTATGTTTAGATGTATTGTTTTCATCAGTGTACTTTTTTTTTTTTAATAGCAAAAATATTTCATTAATTGAAAGTCATACAACATCTATAATAGAGATTCGACGTTAACAAATACATAAGATATTGAATCAAATAGAATTTTCATACAACCTTGTTGAAGAGACAATCTAACGATCCTTTGTAGCCGTGAGGATGTTTTTCTTCTGATTCATCTGTTCGTATTCGAAAACTTGATAACTTTTTTACCAACGAAATAATTTCAGGACAATCCATTAGATCTGCTACCATGGATTCAAACCTAAGAAATTTCTCCCTCGAAAAGAGGAGATAAACCTTGTCTTTCGAAGAAGGTCGAAAAACCCTTGTCTTTCGAAGGAGATCGGAAACCCTTTCTTTAATTTCGAGGGAGAAAAGTTCCTCCCAAAAGAAGGAAGCATTATTAAAAACCTAAAGAAACAAGGATTGGGGCTTTCCACCGATTAAAATCGATGGATGTCCCTTCAGAATTCAACAATGGAGGCTAGGGTTTTGGAGAGAAAAAGGAGGAGAGAGAAAGGAGGTAATACCAACTATAGATTTGTTTTCATTGTACTTAGTGAAGGCAGCAGAGCACCAAGTACAAGTAAAGCCATTAACTATTTTTTTTTTTAATATTGGGCCCCCTTTTGGCTTGGGCCCTAGGCAGTGGCACTCGAGGCCTACCCGTAATTGACCGAGACTGGCGAGAGAGGACTCCTGACTCTTAAAAAGGGAGGATTCCCGGGTTTCACTAGATAATATCCCAGGGCCGGGCCTACACGACATAAAAAAATTATTGTAATAAATATATATTTTATATATGTCCCTCATATGAAATAAATTATAAAAACATAACCATTAATTGCCATTTGTAATAATATTTAGATCTTATTAATTTTGAAGAAGATTAAAAACTTAAGCAAATTATGTATTATGGAGTACTCTTTAACCGAGAGTAATTATATTTTGAAGTCAGATAGTCACTCATAAATAATAATAATAATAATAATAATAATAATAATAATAATAATAATAATAATAATAATAATAATAATAATAATAATAATTGTCTTCAAAAAAATAATTGTAATAATTTAAGGTAAAAAAAATAAATAAAAAATATGATGCCAACAATTGATTTAGGCGGGAAAATTTTTAACAACAGCTTGACATGTTTACAATTTTAAAAAGTGATGATATCAGCGGTTGTTATTTTAGTATATTTATAGATAGTGTTACGCGTCGTTTACTGTAGAATTTTTGGCATATTAGGGGGTTATTATCTCTTTAATTAAACGGTGTCAAATATCCTCGCTCCAACTTACTAATGATAAGGAACTATATCAAAAGAAGAAAAAGGTAATAGAAATAGAGAGACAAAGGGAAAATTAATTTATATTAATGTAATTTTTTTATGAAAAATCACAATAAGTCTTGTATAAAGTGGATTTTTGTTAATTTTATTGATTGACGGTCACTTTGAAGGTATTTAAATTTTTATTTAATTTTTTTGAACAAAATTTTAACAATTTTTATAATAACTTAAACCCATACATTATTTAAGGGTTACATTTAATTTATAAAATTTGACTGTATTTTAATCTGTATTATTTTCTAATGGGTACATGTTATAAAGGCTAATATGATTCGTCTAATACATTTTGAATGTTTGTTAAGGGTAAATTTTATGGTAAAAATTGGATGGTGACTTTTATAGTAAATAAGGATAACTTTTTCCCTCAAAAAAAAAAAAAAAAAAAAAAGGATAACTTTAAGTAAGTTAATTTTAGGATAATTTAAATCTGTTTTATACTGAGCTGAGTAATAAGTTATTAAAAACCCTTCTTATTCAAAAATTTATGATGAACAATATATATATTAATTAAGCTTGTAGTGCACATTACAATATTCTTTTGTAAGACCTTGATCGCAAACTACACTTATAAATAGCACGTTGCAAATGATCTGAATTCTTTCTCTGCATGAAGTTTCTAATTGTAGTAATCTATGCATGTTTGACTTTCCCATAAGACGACTCCACCAAACTGACCTTTTTTTTCCTTAATAATATAATGTATGTTCACATTATACTATTCATAAACTTCTCTGTATATAAACTGTAACGTTATATAGTATATTCTAAGAAAAACATTACACATAATATTACATTAGTATAGGCAATGAATTCTAAGGCGTGTTTTCTTAAGTTTCTTTTGCTGGTTATTGTAATATTGTTGGCTTCTCATACTATTAGTATTGAAGCTGCAAGATTTGGTGTTTTTGTTCCAACTTCTCATAAACATCTAAGGGTGGTATCGCACAGAATCGATAATTCTCTTCATTCGCTGCCTTCCCCAAAACCATCACATGGCCGCGTGCAAGAATTTATTAGTCCTCCTTCTCCTTCACCAGGAGCGCCACCTGCTACGCCACCATAGGTTTCAGCATATTGAAAGTCGAATATATATTTGCCTCAAATCGATTGTTAGTGGTTATTTGTATTTAGTACCTACTGTATTGGAATATGTTACATATTGGCTAGTGCCTCATTTTTACTCATAAGAGAAGTGAAGTGAGATTAGGTTATTGTTTATTAGGTAGTGGTTTAATCTATGCATGGTACGGTCTGGTAATCATGGAATCATATTCCTTACTTTTAATACGGATTGTTTTATGTTTAAACTACATTTATTAGCATTCTTGCAATTCGTTTTACGTGGAATTGAAGTAAGGTTTTATTAGTTTTTTTTTTTTTTTTTTACTCTAATTGTTTCTGCCTGGATCCAATCAACCCGAGAACCCGAACCTGATATCCGTGATACTCCTATCGGCAAGCTGAGAACCTACACAATTAACAGAAGTCAGCTAACCCCGGGGTGATTCAGGGACAACCACTCCGATACTAAAGTCAGAATGTGTTTTAGAAGAAGATAAGAAATAATGAAGAGAGAGAGAGTAATAAATGCTAACCTTATTAATGGCGCTTAACCTACTATTTATAATAATCCTCATGACAGGTGGCTGCATGGCATGCAGACCACCTTGCGCCAAGTGTCAAATTACTGATGACACGTGCCAGTCGCTGACAATCCGATATGTACACCGGTTTCACAATTACTGATATGTCCTAGAGTAGCTGATAATCCGAACCCGGCTAAGAAACCGGCCCATAACACTTTGTCGGCCTAATATCAGTATCTCCCCATACAACTAGCCCCCCAAGTGAGGACGTTAAATGTAAAATTAACGTTCTCACTTTGAGGTACACAATGTCAATATTTTTACACGTTTCTTGCACTCTGTCGAGCATTTTTCTTTTAGTATAAATGTGAATGTTTAGGATGACTTCTAGTTTGCACATTGTATTATGTACTAAAGTTGTTATTTTTGGGTATGTATGGGCGAAAAAATGAATTGAGAGCGGAAAAACACCGTTTTCCCCCCCAAGTGACCTTGTGTGCCGACAGAATACAAGGTCTACTTAACAAATGAATTGGGAGCGAAAAAACTCCGTTTTCCCCCTAAGTGACCTTGTGTGTCGACAGAACACAAGGTCTACTTAACAAATGAATTGGGAGCGGAAAAAAAAAACTCCGTTTTCCCCCCAAGTGACCTTGTGTGCCAACAGAACACAAGGTCTACGTAACA